GCAGGCAGCTCGCTCCTCATCGCCTGCCGTCGAGGAGAGGCCTGCACTGGATTTCAAAAGCGAGGGTTCTTCCTCCCAGAGCCTGGATGATGGGTTGCTGGTGAACGCCCAGTACATACCGGCCCAGCAGCAAAGCGTGAAGCTTCACAAAGGCACTCGAAACGTCAAGATTTTGAAAAGCTCTGCTCTGAAACACAGGCCCCACCTTGCCAACGGGCTGGAAAATGGTACGCAGACTTTGAGGGAGAAAACCAAGCCCGTTGGCAAGAAGTGCCGCTTTCCCGAGGAGCTGGATACAAATAAGAAACTGAAAAAACCCTCCTCGCGGGGGAAGAGAGGCAGTGGCTTGCAGCCGGAGTCGGCTCTCCAGAGTCGGCAGGCTGGCCTGCACAAATCCCCCATCCGATCCCATGGGCATGGCCGAGAGGTCGTGGTGGCCAAGCCTAAACACAAGCGGGCCGACTACCGCCGGTGGAAGTCATCGGCGGAGATTTCCTACGAGGAAGCCCTGCGGTGGGCGAGGAGGAACCGACGGGAAGGCGTGGGGGTCTACTCGCAAGTCCCCCTGCCCTACGTCAGCCCGTACGCCTACGTGGCCAGCGACTCGGAGTACTCGGCGGAGTGCGAGTCCTTGTTCCACTCCACCGTGGTGGACACGAGTGAGGATGAGCAGAGCAACTACACGATGAACTGCTTTGGAGACAGCGAGTCGAGCCTGAGCGAGGTGGAGTTTGTAGGGGAGAGCACGACCACCAGCGACTCTGATGAGAGCGGGGGACTTATTTGGTCTCAGTTTGTCCAGACGCTCCCCATCCAAACGGTTACGGCGCCAGAGCTGCATGAAAATGCAGCAAAGGCCTTTGTCAAAATCAAAGCCTCCCATAACCTCAAGAAGAAAATCCTCCGCTTTCGGTCGGGCTCCCTGAAGCTCATGACAACTGTCTAGTGAGCTGGCTTGGTGGAATGTATCTCCTTCTGCTTTTGGAAGCAAGGTGCTTTTGTGTACATATTTCCACAGATTTTTTTTTTTTTTATATATACAAATATTTAAAACTTAAGGTAAATTATGTCACTTGTCTTCAGAACTTGGGTGGATACTAGTGCCTTTTACGTGGAAATAAAAGACCATTATACTCATTTAAAAAAAAAAAAAAAAAACGAACAATATAACACTGCCATTTCAGTGGTGAACAGCCTCCAGTGCATGGTGTCAGAAGGCTTTGAAAAAAGGCTAAATGTTTCTGGGAATGGATCTTTCTTGCCTAGTTTTTCCAGTTCTGGGTCTTATACAGGATATTGACAGCTTAAAGTCATATGTTTTTAGGGGGTAAGGGGGAGGGAGTGGGGGTGATCTTCATGTTTTCGCTTGTCCCTTTCTGCTGCTCCTGTTGACACATCTTGAACTTCTTCCTCCTGGTAGTCTGGCCTGGTTTTTTTTGTTTTTCTTTTCTTGTTGATTCTCTTCTTGAAACTCACCCCTGTCCTCCCCCAGCCTTCCCCCACCAGGAAGGAGCTCCTGTTCAATCTCTCTCCAAGGTTAAGTTGCCTTCTCTGGAGCACAGTCTCCTGGGAGTCCCGCTGCGGATGGCGGTGGTGTTCAGAGAAAACTGTTGGAGGGGCTGACCAAGGCTTAGTAACTTCAGTATATTGTGTAAAACTGCTTTTGAAAAACTAAAAAAAAAACCCATATGCATGTCACGTGCATGAGTATCAGTAGTTTTAATATTCCTGTTGATGTCCAATTTACTGTACATCATCAATGGCTGTTTTTATATATATATATCATTGTGTAAATTAATATAACACATCATATGCTGTAATAAACAGTCTGTTTTAATACTTTTTTAAAGTTTGTTACATTGATGCAGACCCAATCAATGGTTTTATATTGATGTTGTCACCACTTAGCTGTCTCTGATGTGACCCGTTAATGTTCCCTGCATTTAGCCATGCAGGAAACGGAGCAAGTTTAAAATGTTGCTGTGGATGTGACTGGTGCTTTGAGGGAACTGGGTTACCACTGCTCCTCTTGTTCTTCCTGTCGCTTGCATTTTTTTTAAAGGGAAAGTGGGATTTAGGAGCTCAGAGGCATCATCAGGTTGTTGCTTATGGGCAGCTCACGTTGCGGAGCAGATGGAAATGTTGTATTAATCCTCCTCGCTGTCAGGGTGCTCGCAGACTTTGGTTGGTACAACACAGGGGCAGATGGTAGGTTTCTGTAACCAAATAGATCTGTGTAACGCAACAGGTGTCCCTCTGAAACGTCCGGTAAATGAATCTCCAAGAGCTGTGTGCACTAGGAGCTGGGCTGGGTGGAGGAGAGCACTGCTTCCCTTCAGGGAAATGGCTTTGGAGCTGCCTGGTGAGAAGGCTGGAGGTTTATGGCAGAGATTGGGTCAGTTTCTGGAGGTTCATCCTCTGCTCTGGCATCCGTAAAGCAGTGGACATACAACTGGCATGGATGCTGTGGCTGGTGTGAATTTCCGGGATGTGTGTACAGCCTGGCCGTTCCATAGCAAGATCTGCTGAGCCAATACCTTCCTTTGTGGTTCCTCTGTGTCCTTCCTGCTGTCACCCACCTGAAAAGCAGAGCAGGTTTTTTTTTTTTCTCAGGTTTCCTTGCATTGCAAATGTAGGAAGGAGAGATCCATCCAAAATTGAATGTCTCTGGGAGCAACTTCTGAGACAGTGGTAACCCTTTTTCTAAGTAAGTGGCAGAATTTTTTTTTTTAATCTGCAGTGTAGTAAATCCCTACTTATAAAATGTGTCTCTCATATTATTTTTTTTTCCTTTTTTTAATAGAGGAATGTCTGTTTCTATAAGGGATCTTGCAGTATGGTCACAAGGTTCTGGATTCAGTGACCCAGAAAGTCCTTGCACTTCCATGATACAGGAAAAAGTGTAACCCATCTTGTCTGGTCATAACTCACCCCTTGCTTTACACATGGAAGGGCAGCTTGTATATGTATATATATATCTATAAAAATGTTATATATTGATATATAATTCATTCAGAAATTACTGGGCAACGGCTGCCACTGCAGAGAGGGGAGAGAAGTAATGTTTGTTATTAAACATGGCATTAGTGAGGCTAAGCAGCAGCTTAATGCCTTCCCTTTAATAACCGATGTGTGTTACATCAAACAAAGGGAATGTCAAGAAGCTTGTCAAAGCTAGTAGTTTCTCTCCTAGAATATCTCTTAATCATACCACAAAGTCTGTCTTTGAGCAAGAAAAGCACGTGCAAATCCCTGTAAATCTCCTTAAAGGTGCAGCAGAGAGGATCTGCAGACGTGCACTCAGTCTCTCTGGCTGTAAAGGGGCCACTGGTGAGAAGACAAACTGACCAGTGCCTTTGGGATGATGAGTTTTTAATTGCAGTGCTACAGCAGATTGTCTCGTACCAGGTGAGGGAGGCTGGTTTTCTAAAGTGAGCTGCTGAATGGTTTCTTTTTAGATAATTGAGTAGGAAAAAAAAAAAGAAAATAGCCACCTAAATGTGAGTAAGACTGTATCAGCTGCAATGACTGCATTCTCTGGTACTCTTGCTGAATAGCTTAATACCAGACAGGGAAATGGGCTGATGCTATCTCTGTCTTAATTGCATCCCAGTCTTTTCAGTTTGGGGAAGGAATTTTCCTTTTCTTACAAGATTTAGGTAAGCATCCAGAATTGTTAGCGGGCCTAGGGTTTTCTCTCTAGATTCCCCTCCTCCTTCTCCCCCTCCCCCCCCTTTTTTTTTTAAAATAAAAGATCTTACAGTGCTGGAAAAGTACTTGATATAGTCCCAATACACAACACACATTCTCTTCTCTGGTTCTGATTTAGGAAACACATCTACGTTAGCAAGTTTTTGCAACGTTAGATTGAAAAACATCTGCTAATCTTGGAGACCAGTTAAATATCTGGCACTTCGTTAAGCTACCTGGCTTTCCATCTCCACAGCCTTGAGACCTTGCCAGTGTATTTTTCATAATGTTCAGATTTTAATTATCCACGGTGTTTATGGTCGTCTTTGGAAGTTTGAAGCAGGAACATTTCTCTTCGTTGCACTGGGACCTATTTCAAGCTGGGGCAGGTTGTGGCGGGGAGGTTTGGGATTAGCTACCCCTCTGTTCCATATATAACGGAGTGCAGGGATGGACAGAAGCATTTGTTTAACATAAAGAGCAAAAGCAGACCCCATTAGCTGGATTTCTCACCATTCGGGTTGTATCGTGTCGCTGCACTTCTCTAAAGCACCATTTCTCCCAGTGCAGGCATTGCCATCGTGCACGCTCTGAGCTGCCGTTATTTGAAGGGGAATGAGCATTTTGCTGGGCTGTCTGCCTTCCAGCAGGCTTTTGGGTCTTGGCTTCTGCTCCCTAACCCCAGGCACCAGCTGTGGGTCAGTGGATCCCGAAGCAAGCCGTGTCTGGTGTGTGCGGGGTCAGAGAGAGGCCCTGGCATTGCGCCGAGACGTCCCGACTGCATGGGGCCCCTGTTGTGGGTATCACGCTTGTCGCGAGAAATTCGACATGGTGCAAGGATTTGGACAGCTGGGTCTGAAGGCAAGTGGCACCGGAGAGCCCCATAAATGGAGTGGTCTGATCCTGATCCCTCTGTATGCCCAGGACATAGCACAATCCTGGCTTGCAGAGCGCCTGTAGGTCCCAGTCTTTTGCAGCTTTCCCTGTCCTGGGGCATCAGAGGGAATCTGTCCATCCCTTCTAAGTTTTCCATTTTTCTTCTGGCTTGGGGTTCATCCTGGGTTAGGACTGACAGCAGACTCCCCACACCAGAGTCCTGTGCCTTCGCTAACCCCAAATCTGTCTGTTGCCTCAGAGAAAGGTCCTGCGCTCCTCAGGTGGCAGCCAGCAAAGCCAACCCTGAGGGACCCGCGTCCCTTTCTGCCACCAAGGGCAGCAAAGGCTGTGATCCTGTTAGCTGTGATCGTGACTCACCACGCCGGGCACGACTCTCCCTCAGCATGTGATTTTTCCCACAGGAGGGAACACAGACATGAACATTCTGAGGAAGCAAAGAAGCTGGTAAAGACATTTTAAATAGCTAACTGCAGCATCTAGTATGGAGCAGCCAACAATAATCAATAAAACTGAGCTGCTGGTACAAAAAACTGAACCTTTCTCAGCTCTTTGAATGTCCTGTGCACCGTGCGGAGAGGACACAGAGACTGCAGACCAGTGAAGACTATTCATAAACCCCAGGTCTGTCTTTCAAACTTGCTTTTCTCCTGAATTCCTCTGAACCTCCGAGGGATTGTGTTGAGGCTCCTCGCATGGCATGATGTTTCTTTCTCTAACTCAACATTATAGATGGAGCACTGTGGTGAGATACAATTGCTCTGGGGTTTAAAAAATTTGATGCTAGAATGAGAGGAGACGTATGGAAACACGTGGGAGATCTTTTTAAAAGGGATAATAAAAAGTCCTATTTTACACAGCAGGGAATTTGCTGCCACAGGAAATGGCGAGGCAGGTATAACAAGGGGTAACAGGTATAAGCTGAAAGAATGTAGATTTAGACTAGACATTAGAAGAAATTTTTCACTGTGAGGGTGGTGAGGCAGTGGCCCAGGTTGCCCAGAGAAGCTGTGGATGCCCCATCCCTGGAGGGGTTCAAGGCCAGGCTGGATGAGGCTTTGGGCAACCTGGGCTAGTGGGAGGTGTCCCTGCCCACGGCAGGGGGAGGGACTGGTTGATCTTTAAGGTCCTTTCCAACCCTAGCCGTTCTATGATTTTATGATTCTATGATAATAGCAGCAAGTTCCAAGGGGTTAGAGAAGTTAGGGAAGGATGTGGGCTCTACCATCCCCAGTCAATGACTGTGGATGCTGGGAAGAGTGGGAGGTGAATGGACTGCAAATAGTGGCCAGGTTTGCATGCTTCCCTGAAAGATGGTCTTTCCCTGCAACTGCTGAAGCACTGTTAGCTGGAGGAGATGTACCATCCTGCTGACCTAGCAGACCGTGTCCTGTATTCCTCTGATCTTGGTGCAGCTGATGGAAGTTGGCTATGCAATTGCTTTTTCTCACTCTTTGTAAGTCTTCTGTCCTCCCAAGTGCTGCTGAAGATGAGTTTTGCATTGCTTTGCCAAGAAGTTCACTTTGCACGCTCAGCTGATAGTGGCATGTGTTTATTCAAACTACAGACGTGTTTTGCTGGTCACTCTTGTCCTATGGCAGAATAATTCCATCCACCCTCTCACACAGGCTCTCTGTGTCACAGTCCTCTCTTATGGTGACCATTGTCCCCGTGTAATGCAAACACTGTTCTGGACATAGCCCATATGGACATCATAGTCAAGACCAGGCTGGATGAGGGTTTGAACAACCTGGGCTAGTGGGAGGTGTCTCTGCCCATGGTAGGGAGTGGAACTAGACGATCTTTAAGGTCCCTTCCAATCCAAACCATTCTGTGATTAGTCTACCATGGGAGCCACTCTTGGGCAGCAACTTTACATCCTACAGTTACTTCCAAGCTGTAGGAAAAGTTGACGACCTCAAAAACCAAATGAACCATCCTAGTGACAGAGTGCACCTCCTGCACCCTGCCTTGAGACTTTGCTGTCCTTGGAGAGTTTCGATCTCCCTCTGACTGTGTCTGCATCTGTGCTTTTGTTTGGAGCAACAGAGCAGTCTGGAAGCGAGTCTTGTGGCTGTCTCCACTTACTGCATGGTGGTTTGGACAGCGGAGCGGTTTTGATGCACACTAGATAGACGCCTTTGGAATCACTGGCTCCTTAGAATAGCTTCCAGTCAAAAAATGTGGACAAGTTTGGTCCAAATGGCATTGGGGACCAGACTAAA